TCTCATCCTCTGTTGTTCCCTTCTCCTTCTGCCTTCTATCTTTCCCAGCATCAGGGTCTTTTCCAATGAGTCAGTTCTTCGCATCAGGTGGCCAAAGTATTGTTTGCTGTTAGCACTTGACATGGAAGTATTAGGTATTAAAATGAGCTACTGTAGAGGTGGGACTTCCAAAATGAGTTAGTGAGAAGCTTAACAAATCTGTTCCTCAAAAAAACAATGCTAAGACTGACAAAATTGCAAAAAAAAAACAAAGCCAACCAAACAAAAAAAGTCCCACCAACTTCTTCAGGACTGTTGAAACTGGACAGAAGGAAAGAAAAGTGCAGAAAAATCATTTTAGAAATAATGGCTAAACCATCCCAAACTTGATGAAAAACACTAATCTACACATATGATAATTTCAATGGATTCTCCATAGGATAAACACAAAGAACTCTATACCTAAACATATCATATTCAAACTATTGAAATTTAAGAGAAAATCCTGAAAGCCACAAGAGAGAAATGACTTACCAGGGATAAGGGAACCACATCATATATAACAGAATCACAGTGACTTCTCATCACCAATAATGAAGGCCAGAGGGTGGTGACATGATTTATTTAAAAGAGCAGAAGAGAGACTTCCCTAGTGGTCCAGTGGTTAGGACTCTATGCTTCCAAAGCAGTGGGTGCAGTTTCAATCCCTGGTCAGGGAAAGCTAGGATTCCACATGCTATGTGGTGAGACCAAAATAATATATAAAGTGTCAGAAGAAAAAAAAATTAGCCAAAATTTTACATCCTGCAAAATCATCTTTCAAAAATAAAGGCAAAGGGTAAAGGATCTGAATAGACATTTCTCCAAAGAAGGTATGGAGATGTCCCATAAGTACATGAAAAGATGCTCAAGATCATTATCCTTCAGGGAAATGCAAATAAAAATCACAATGAGATATCAGTTCACCCCAGCTAGGGTGGCCATTATCAAACTCAGATAGAAACAAGTGTTGGCAAGGATATGCAGAAATCAGAAGTTACATGTGGCCACTTTGGAAAACATTCTGGTCTTTACTCAAAAAGTTAAACACAAGTAAAGACATAAATGTTAAGGCTAGAAAGTGTAAAACTCCTAGAGGTAAACATAGGCAGAACACTCTTTGACCTAAATTGCAGCAAGATCCTCTTTGTTTTACCTCCTAGAGTAATAGAAATAAAAACAAAAATAAACAAATGGGACCTAATTGAACTTAAAAAGTTAAACACAGACTTAACATTTGACTCAGCAATCCCAACTTTAAGCATATATCCAAGAGAAATAAAGACACAAGTCAACACAAAAACTTGTACGTGAATATTCATGTCAGCAATATTCATACTAGCCCAAAGTGAAAACAAATGTCCATCAGCTGATGAATGGACAAATATGGTGTATCCATACAATGGAATATTACTCAGCCATAAAAAGAAAAATGGTTGATACCTGCTACAACATGATGAATTTTAAAAACATAATGCTAAGTGAAAGAAGCTAGTCAAAAGATCAAATATTATTATATTTTTCTGAAATCTCCAGAATTGGCAAATCAATAAAGACATAAAGCAGATTAGTTGTTGCCTAGAGCTGGGGGAGGGCAATGGAGTTCTGGGAGAGTGACAGCTAAACGGCACAATATTTCTTTTTGTGTTTATATGCAAAGATTTTCTTTCATTCTGTGGATTGTCTTTTTTCTCTGCCAATAGTGTCCTTTGATGCACAAAGTTTAAAAAGAAAATTATGTAGTCCAATTAATCTATTTTTTCTTTTGCTGCCCGTGCTTTTGATGTCGCATCCCAAAATAACTGCCAAATCCAATGTCATGAAGGTTTCCCCTTATGTTTTCCTCTAAGAATTTTATAGTTTTAGCACTTATACTTAGGTCTTTGATCCACTTTGAGTTAATTTTTGTTTCTATGATTCCAATTTCATTCTTTTGTATGTGGATGTCCAGTTTTCTCAGCACCATTTGTTGGGAATACTTTACTTTCCCCATTGACTTGACTTGGTATCCTTATTGACAATCAATTGACCGTAAATGTGAACGTTTATTTCTGGACTCTATTCTATTTCAATTTGGTGTATGTCAGCAGGTTAACTTTTTTTAAGTTAATTTTATTTACTTATTTATTTTGGCTGCACTGGGACTTCGTTGTGGTCGATGGGGTATAAGCCAGAAAGATAAAGACCATTACAGTATACTAACACATATATATGGAATTTAGAAAGATGGTAACGATAACCCTATATGCAAAACAGAAAAAGAGACTCCGATGTATAGAACAGACTTGTGGACTCTAATAGCAGAGCGTGAGGACTTCTCTAGTTGTGGCATGTGGGCTTTTCTTGTTACGGTGCATAAGCTCTAGAGGGCATGGGCTCTCTACTTGCCAATCACAGCATTAGGGATCTTAGTTCTCTGATCAGGGATCAAATCCACATCCCCTGCATTGGAACATGGATTCTTAACCACTGGACCAGCAGGGAAGATCCAAGGTTAACTTTATTGAGTACATTGTGTTGATATAAGAGAACTGGACCAGAGACATGCAGTCTCTTTGAGATTAGATGTAAGGACATTGGAAGCTCCTGGAAAGGAAATGTAAGACTTGAATGCTCTAACCCAGGCAACTAAATTAACTAGAAATAAAGAAAAGTATACAGCAATATCTCTCATGAGCAAGGGATGCAAAAATCCCTAACATAGTATTAACAAATCCATCAATATATAAAAAAATAATTTACCATGACTATGTGGGTTTATTCCAGGGATAAAAGGAAGGTTTGATATTTGAAAATCAATGTAATGTATCAAATTAACAATTTAAAGGAAAAAATGACCTGACAAGATCAACTGATAACAAAGCAAATTTGAAAATTATTTGACAGTCATTTGTGATAAAAATCCTTAGCAAACTAAGAATTCATCCTTTCGACCAGGGCTTAACTGTTGTTAGCCAAAATAGACATCTGACAATGATATGATACAGACTGATGAGAACAAAACAAAATCAAACAAAATCTGCCTAGGAAAATGTTTCTCCTTCAGATTCATTTGACAGGCTTGTCTTCTTGTCTGCCTATCTGGGCTCCAGTAAAGGCCATCTACTCCAGTGGAGGATACGAAGTCACACCATTTTCATTCATAGGAGGCCACTGTAAGGGAAAGATCTCTTCAATCACTGGAAATTTAAAGAACCAATCACTTGTTGTTTAGCTTTTACTTATCCTTGTCTTCCTTTTCCATCATCCCTTGGCCCTCATTCAAGCTTCAGTTTCAATACTTCCAACCATCATCTGCTCCTTCCATCTCAGAAGCATCACATGGCCTTAATAAGAAATGTAATAAATTGTAGTGCATGCAGTAGTGTGCCTCTTAGATGTCTCCCTCTTCAGGACTAAGTTACTCATTCTCTCAGCAGCTTAGAGATTTAACAGCCAATAACTCTCAGCTGAGTCTCTCTCAGGAATTGCCCTTGGCTCAAGAAAGTCATCTAATGGAAAGTCATGCCCCACCTCCACATCCAACAACTGGGAGATGTGTGGTTCAAGGCCTGGCACCTTTGCTTTAACTATGGATAACACTGAAGGACTTTTCCAACTCCATAAAGGCTTAATACAACTCACCAATCAACATTCGGTTCCAAATATTAACAACTCTACTAACCAAAATTTTATCCCCTCATGTCTGTACCAAATATTCCCCTTTTCTTCTACCAATTTACTCACCACCCCTCTCTATCCTGCTGTGTGTCCCAGGATGCTGTTCTCTACATTCACCAGGCTCCCAAGCCTTCTGGCTTCCAGCCAAGAAAATGGGAAACCCATGGTAAGTATTAACACAGTAGGAACGTGGGCATAATCCACTTAGAAATTTTTTAAAGATGATTAGTTTTGCTACTTTTCTCTCATTTTTAGCTAAAAAGCTCTCTGAACAGTTATGACCCTGAATTAGACCGTGTCACCCCTCTCTTCTAAGGCTGCAATGAGATTTCTGCAATGAGAAGAGTATTAAGGCACTGTTTAAAACTAGATTAATTTTAAAGGTTACATATTTAAGACAGTTTGTCCTTTCCTGGTAGCTCAGTGGTAAAGAATACATCTGTAATGCACTTTCACTGCTGAGGGTGTGGGTTCAATCCCTTGTCAGGGAACTAAAATCCCACAAGCCACATGGTGTGGCCAAAAAAATCAGGAAAGAGACAGAGCGAGAACACAAGTAAATGATGGCAACGGTATGGAGAAAAGAGAAACCTTGTACACCACTGGTAGGAATGTAAACTGCTGCAATCACTGTGGAAAACAGTACAGAGTTTTCTCAAAAAACTAAAGATACAACTCCCATGTGACCCAGTAATTCCATTCCTGGCTACATATCTGAAAAAACAAACAAACAGTAATTCAAAAAGATACATGGACCCCAATATTCATAGAAGCATTATTTACAATATTCAAGATAAGGAAGCAACTGAAATTCCCATCAACAGATGAATGATAAACACGTGACTACACACATACGTGCACACATGCACACACGGACACACACAAACACACAGGAAAGCTACTCAGCCATTAAAAAGTAAAATTTTGCCCTCTGTGACAACATGGACGGACTTAAAGGCTATTGTGCTAAATAAAATGTAAGACAAAGACAAATACCATATATCACTTACATGCGGAATCTAAAAAATACAACAAATTAGTGCATATGACAAAAAAGCAGACTCACAGATATAGAGAATATACTAGTGGTTACCAGTGGGGAGAGGGAAGGGGGAAAAGGTGCAATATAGGGGTAGAAGATTAAGAGGTACACATTATTATGTATAAAATAACCGACAAGGACATATTGTACAACACAGATAATACGGTCTGTGTTAATATTATAAAATATAATATTTTATAATAACTAAACGGACTATAACCTTTTAAAATATAACCTTGCCCAGCCCCTCCTCTAGACCAATTCTGGACTGACCACTGACCTGAGACCATAACCCCTCTTTAATGGGCTGGCCCCGCCCCCAAGATGGCCGCAACCATGTGCTGTTGGGGGCCACTGCGGGCTCTTTTTCTGAGAAAGAGAGCATAGCTTTGAGGAATGGAGGGGCGGGAACTCTCCAGGGAGCACAGCCACAAGGAGGCCCAGCGGCGCAGGAGGACCGGAGAAGCGGGCCTCGGAGGCGGTGGAACCGGGTCGCAATGACAGTCCGCACGGAGCCAGCTCGCCTCCCGCCACCAGAGACGTCTCCCCAGCCTTTTGTACTACTTGTCGCGGAAAATGGTCGCACTCTTGTCGCTCCATTTAACCTCAGAGGGAGCCACGTCAGAAGCATTGTCCCCAAAGGTACCATGTTACGCATTGGCTGTGTTGCCCTCCGCCCTTCAACCCTCTCTGCGCGTGTGCAGCACTCAGGCTCCCCGAGAAACGGGGAACGGAAGTCCTCTGCTGACCCCAGGGAGGTGCAAGCTGGTGCTGGTTGGTGTTACCCGCCCCGAGGTCTCGCGTTCTTGGTGGTGGATTAAGGGGAGGAGGAGTTGGGGATTGGCCAACATAGGAAGGTCGGAGGAGGGGCCATGGTTAAAGAGCTCCCGTCCCTGGGGTGGGGGGCGGTGTTGAGTGACGGAGCCTCGGTGGTGGGAGAGGGGCGGGCTCCGGGGGCCAGCGAGTGATTGCTTCATTAATTGATTAATTCAGCGACTGTTTACTCAGTGTCTACTAAATGCCTGGCACTGTTTTTCACATTTGTCTTCATAGTTGCTCTGTATGTACTTTGATGCTACCTTTCTGTTCATTTTATAGGGAGAAAACAAGACAGGAGGGCTTGGAAACCTAGCCAAAATCACACAGTAAACCCGAGGGATCCTTTTGTTACCAGGGCTGCTCCAACTTTACTCAAAACATGCCAACCCCCACCTTTAGCAGGAATAACTGAAATCTTACAGTTAAAAGACCCAGAGATTAGAAAGGAAACTACAAACCAGCTGGACGCAAGATGCTCTCTCTTCAGACCTCCAACAGACCCTGGGTCTCAGTATATGCTGATTTTATTACATTAGCATATTAGATAACACTTAGCGGTGGCCATGACCAGAGATTAAAGGCCAAAAAAAAAAAAAAAAGGATAAAAGGGGGTAACACCACACCCCTTGAAAAAGCACCCTCTTTTCCCCAGTAGACTAATGCATATGCGTCCCCATCTTTAGCCTCACTCCTCCCCCTTTTGTCTTCACTGTTTAAAATTAAATCCCTGCTGCAGGTGGGTGAGGAGAAGTTCCTCTGTGAACTTAGTCCTTGCTTCTCCATTCTTTGGCCACTGAATAAAGCTTGTGCTGTGTCCACATCAGCTTCCATTACCTTATTAGCTGCTCAAACTGGGATGGAAAAAGAACCCTCCCCAACCGGGGCAGAGAGCCTTAGCCAGACTAGGGCCTGAGCAGGATGCAAAGGACTTACAGGTAGCACTTTTTTCCCCCACATAGCACTTATGCCTTTCTAACTAACATAGCCTAAATTTATTTATCAAGTTTGTTGCTTACTCTCTCTCCTCTGCTAGAGTATAGCTCCACACGATCAAGGAACTCTTGTATATCCAACACATAGAATAAATACAAAGTAGGCACTCACCTCTTATATTGAGAGGTGTTTGAGGAGTTTGATTTCAGAGGCTGGACTCTCAACGAAGTAAAGCAGTTGTAGCTCATTGTCTGCTGATAATTGAGCTCTTCACTTCAGTTGAGTTACTCAGTCGTGTCCAACTTTGCAACCTCATGGGCTGCAGCACGCCAGGTTTCCCTGTCCATCACCAATTCCTGGAGTTTGCTCAAACTCATGTCCATCGAGTCGGTGATGCCATCCAACCATCTCATCCTCTGTCATCCCCTTTTCCTCCTGCCCTCAGTCTTTCCCATCATCATGGTCTTTTCCAGTGAGTCAACTCATCACATCAGGTGGCCAAAGTATTGTAGCTTCAGCATCAGTCCTTCCAATGAACATTCTGGACTGATTTCCTTTAGGATTGACTGGCTTTATCTCCTTGTGGTCCAAGGGACTCTCAAGAGTCTTCTTCAACATCAGCGCACAGGCCCAGGTAGGCAGCTACAGTGGCAACGGCCAAATCCAGTGCCAGGTGGCAGTCCAAAGGCCAAGATCCCTGCATGCATCAGTTCAGTTCAGTTCAGTCGCTCAGTCGTGTCCGACTCTTTGCGACCCTATGAATCACACAGCATGCCAGGCCTCCCTGTCCATCACCAACTCCTGGAGTTTACTCAAACTCATGTCCATTGAGTCAGTGATGCTATCCAGCCATCTCATCCTCTGTCGTCCCCTTCTCCTCCTGCCCCCAATCCCTCCCAGCATCAGGGTCTTTTCCAATGAGTCAGCTCTTCACATGAGGTGGCCAAGGTATTGGGGTTTCAGTTTCAGCATCAGTCCTTCCAATGAACACCCAGGACTGATCTCCTTTAGGATGGACTGATTGGATCTCCTTGCAAGGGACTCTCAAGAGTCTTCTCCAACACCACAATTCAAAAGCATCAATTCTTCAGTGCTCAGCTTTCTTTATAGTCCAACTCTCACATCCATACATGACCACTGGAAAAACCATAGCCTTAACTAGACGGGCCCATTCAAATGGGTGTATCTTTCCTTTTCTCCTTTGCTTTTTGTTTCTCTTCTTTTCACAGCTATTTGTAAGGCCTCCTCAGCCAGCCATTTTGCTTTTTTGTGTTTCTTTTTCTTGGGGATGGTCTTGATTCCTGTCTCCTGTACAATGTCACAAACCTCCATCCATAGTTCATCAGGCACTCTGTCTATCAGATCTTATGACCATATAAATATTCCAGTAGGATAGAAAGAGTTAGTCACTCAGTGGAGTCTGACTCTTTGTGACCCTATCGACTATAGTCTGCCAGCCTCCTCTGTCCATGGAATTCTCCAGGCAAGAATATTGGAGTGGGTTGCCATTTCCTTCTCCAGGGGATCTTCCTGACCCAGGTATTGAACCTGGGTCTCCTGCACTGCAGGCAAGATTGTTTACTATCTGAGCCACCAGGGAAGTCAGTAGGATAGAGTCCTGGTTAAAATATGAGAAAAAAATGTAACAGTTACTGCCACACTAAGAGTACTCATGTTCCTATACCTTCATGAACAGTGGCTCTTCTCTTTTGAATGTTTACTAACCTTATAGGTAAAAAAAAGAGTATCTTACTATTTAATTAGCATGTATTTGAACTTTATTGCAATTTATAATCTATTTGTATCTTTAGCAGCTGCTTATATTGGGTTGGCCAAAAAGTTCATTCAGGTTTTTCCATACCATCTTATGGAAAAACCCAAATGAAATTTTTATTCAACTAATTATTTCTGTTGGTATGAACATTTTATCCATTCTGTTGTCTTTTCTTAACTGACTTATCAAAAACTCTAGAGTAAAATCCTAGAAATGGCACTGCTGCATTAAAGAGTATTTGTGATATACATTTTGATGTATATTAACTATTGCTCCACCCATACCCAATGCTTTAAATTATTTATAACTTCTTTGTTGTTTTTCTACACACTTGATTGCACTAGGTATTAACCTGTTTAATGTTTAAGAAGCTGAACAATATAAAGAATTACTAGAGATCTAATGCCCAGCATAGTGATTATAGTCAACGATATTGTATATAAACTTCCAAGTTGCCAAGAGACTAGATTTTAATTGTTCTCACTACAAAAAAAAGAAATTATAATTGTGTGACATGATAGAGGTGTTAGCTAATGCTGTTGGTGGTAATCATATTACAAAATATAAATGTATCAAGTCAATATGTTGTATGTGTTGTGCTCAGTTCCTCAGTGTCTGACTCTTCGCGACCCTATGGATTGCAACCCACTAGGCTTCTCTGTCCATGGGATTCTCCAGGCAAGAATACTGGAGTGAGTTGCCATTTCCTTTTCCAGGGGATCTTCCCAACCCAGGGATCGAACCTGAGTCTCCCACATTGCAGGCTGATTCTTTACCACTGAGCCACCAGGGAAATCCAGACTTTACACAGTTACATGTCAATTATATCTCAATAAGAAAAAGAATCTGAAGAGTGATAAATGGTATACTACTATAAATTTATTTCACATTCCTCCAGTTATACTGGAGGAGGTTGTTGTTCTTTTCTTAAAGATGTTAGGATTTTAGTGTATGAAGGAAATTAGATCATTGTTATATAATAAACAAATATCATTACCACTTTGATATTGATGTTTGAGAATTTAAAAAAAATTACTTTCTTCAATTTAGATATTTCTAATGTCTAGGTAATCAAGTTTGCCAGTTTTTAGCTGTATGTCTTCTAAATTTGGGGATGGTTTAGAAAGACTTTTGCTACTTTGCATTTATAAAAACTTTTAACTAGTAATTTTATGGTTATCCTGCACACATTTAAATCTCTAATTCATCTGTAATTTATTTTGGAATTTGGAGTGGGGTAGCTAATGCAGTTCTATGGTATGTGTTTTCCCTGCATAAATACGTAGCCAGATTTTGCTAATAACCTCTTTTCTGCAGCAATTTGAGATGCTTTCGTTCTGAACTAAATTCTGACCCTGTATGTGTAGGATCTGTTAGTAGTTTTTAAATTCCTTCATTATCATTATTAAAGCATAACACTGAGTGTAGTATGAATAAAATTCTTTCTCCTCATCACAGAAATCTGAGATAACCTGGCTTTAGCTTTGTGTCTCTGGAAACCCAATAATTGTGGAATAACAGCTGTATTACCAGGCATTGTTACTTAGGATCAATATGACCCTTGATTGGTAAACAAACTGCACCTGGACTGGGAGGCCTGTGAATAACTGAAAATAGCTGGTAGGAAGCCATTGATTTGGGTTTTCCTGGGTCCAGGGTAACTCTCATAACTGAGCATGTCCTTTGCCAGGACCCTGGAAAATATGCTGTTAGGGAAATTAAAATGGAGGCAGTCTTGTTCAGGCTTCAGAGGCAGGGGAGCAGGCCTCTGACCTGCTTCTGACCTGCCTGGACGCTCCCTGGATTACATGCCTGCCCATGAGCATGCAGATTGTTACCAGCTATCAAGCAGCTCTTTAGATAAGAGAGGGAATGGGTCTTGGAATTTTCTTGAGCTCTTGGAGGCCTGGCCAGCCTCTGTGGTCTGGAAAATCTGGTGACTCAGAAGATGGAATAAACAGCACTATCAAAGTTTAAACAAAAACCAGAGCTGAATTTTTGTTCACAAATTGATGATGGTATCAATTTGTGGCCTGGGATTATAAGCAGGAGCCCCCAGAGCTGCAATTTGATCTCACCAGTGAGGTGGAGGCACTGCCCAGGACCCTCTCCCAATTAAGACTCCAGATTGCTGTTACTTGGGATGTCCCAGCGCTGTTAAATTCTGGATGTAGGTGTTGGCCCAATTTGGTGATGTATATGCTGTTACTTCTCTGTTGCTTCTACTTCTTTTCTTTTAATGACTGTATATTGAAAATAAGTCAGATAATCCTCTATTAAATATTCAAATTGTTGTGTGAGTAACAAGTGGTTTCTTTTGCTAATCGTTTGAACCTAAAATGAAAGTAAAACTTTTGGCAAAACGTGTGCCTGGGAGTCTGTTACAAAAGATACTGGTGTATGGAACAGCTTTTGGCTTCTAGGCCAAATGCTAGCTGTGTTTGACAGCGTAGCCTTGTTTCTGGGCACCTCAACTATCACATGGCAGGGGGGAGTGGCAGGGGCAGTTTGAGCTACTGGATTGTATGAAGTCCTCCTGCTGGCAACACAGGCCTGTCACTACCTTTTGGCCCACTGTTTCCTGTCTCCCTCTGAAAAGCTGAGTAAACTGGTGCCACACATGGCCCACGGGGGCCTTGTGGCTGCAACATGTCTTCTTGAATTTAAGGCCACCGAGGGTGGGTGGGACAGGATGGGATCCAGAATGGAAATGGGTGGGTTATTGCTCTCCAGGCAGTTAAGAGAAGTAAATCCTTGTTTGGTGGTGATAAGATCAAATATAGACCTTTTCTTTATTACCTAAATCTGCTGACCAGGCCAGATACTGTCCTGTTCTTTGACTCGTGATTGATCGGACCAACAGTGCTGTTGGTCATGACTGAGTGGCCATGTTTTGAACTGTTCTAGATCTACATCCCTTTCAAAGCCTTCTGTCAGTCCCAAGCAGAACTGAGTTCTTCCTCTTTTGGATTCCCTGCCCTACCTCTGCCATTGCCTTCTTTCCTCCTGCTCTTTAATGTGCTTGTAAGTGGTGTTTTTCTCCCTCTACTAGAATGTATGTAACTTCAACTTCAGGAGGTGTTTGTTTTTTATTAATCTCTAAATCCTCAGAACTTATCAGCTTGGTCTCTAGTCAATAAATATGTGTTGGAAGAATGAACTTCCAGAGTGAGATATTTCTAACACTTCATCTCTTTTCCCATAGTTTAAAATAATTTGTTACATAAGCAGCCTATATACTATACTATGTCAAATTGTGGATGATGAACAGTATAACAACAATTACATAGAGAAAGGGAATGCAGTGTCTAAAAGTGTGTGCGCAGAGACCAGACCGCATGGATTTTGATTCCTAGTTCCTACCTGTGTGACCTGGGGCAGGTGACCTTGTACTCTATGAACCTTCCTGTCCTCATCTGTCAGGGTTCTCCTGGGTGGTGGGGAGGGCTGAAATCTGTCTACAAATGAAGGACATAGGATGGGCACAGAGTGGGCACTTGATGTGACGTACTATCTCCATCTGCAAGCTAATCACTGGGCTAAGGAGTAGTGTGTAGTGTTGTAGGAAACATTGACCTTCAAGGACATGTTTGTGGACTTCACCCAGGAGTGGCAGCAGCTGGACGCTGCTCAGAAGAACCTCCACAGGGATGTCATGCTGGAAAACTACAGCCACTTTGTCTCCATGGGTGAGGGACCCTCCACAGAGTGACTGGAACACACCCCTTCGTGTCTTCCTCTCTGGGCTGCTGCAGCTCAGGGGCATCTGGGCCCTGAATGAGTCGGGCCTCAGGCTCCTGGTCAGGAATTCCTAATGGCGTTTGCCCCCTGCCCAGCATGGTCATGTTCTCACCTTCTCTGTGGATGGTCTGCACTGAGGGCCCACTGGCTGGGCTCATGGCCAGACCATCCCCACCCTGCAGGGACGGGCCTCGGTTCCAGAATGCTGCAGGTGTTCATAACCAAGTCCTTTGTCATTTCCCCTTAACAGGATACCTTGTGACCCAGCCACATGGGATCTTCAGGTTGGGACAAGGAGAAGAGGTGGCCGAGATAGCCCACTGGAGAAAGCCCACTGTGGAGAAAGCCCAGGTAAGCCCATGCCAGGTCAGGGGTTAAGGGGTGATGGTCCTTACCACAGTTCTATTTATTTCATCTTTCTGGCCCCTGAAGAAACCAGCTGGATCCCAGAGAATAAGTTTAAACTACTGCAAGCTCAACCACACCAAGTTTAACTTTACAAAAGAGAAATATAGCACCTTAAGGTCCTCTTTGGGATCAGAGGTGACACATTTTACACCTAGAAATACTTGTCTGGCCCATATTCCAGGTGACACAAAAGGCTGCCAGCTTTGGCTGGGGCCTAGGGCAGGAAAGGCTCTGCAGTTAGCCCAGGCTCTAGTGCCAACAGCCTTGTTGCTTGCACCATATGGTCTGGCTGCCCTAAGGGGCTGAAGGTATCAGTGGTGGGAAAAGATGCAGAGTGAGAAACAAGCCCCTTAGATTTTTGAGTAAGACCATGAAATATGTGTCAGAGAATTATACTACTTTTGAGATAGCAGGGTCCCATAACTCATGAGGAGCACTAGGCACAATAAACCTCCTTCTATCCTGCTGCTCTGCTCCATTTACTGAATAACCCAGAAAACAGCCAATTTTCAGTGTGCCTAGAGCAAGAATAGACTTGGCAATAGGTGTGGAATACCAAATGACCTAGCATATGAAGTGTCTGTGGCAGATGGACATGATGTATGAAAATTTTGGAAGGTCCCTGTATGTCAGTCACAGTATAGTCTATGAGGGTTTTGGAGCATAGCAATGCAATCTTCTGCAGACAGGTATTCTTCTGAGAAAAAAAAAATTCTAGCCTGATATTGACCCTAATTGAAGATCTTCCCTTTGCCCTTTCCAAGTCCTCCCCCTCAAAGCTATTAACTATCCTGAATTCTAATACCAGAGGAGAAGTCCACAGATACGATTGTATGTTTTATGACGCTGGAAAAATAAACAAGAAAATTTTAAAAAGCACTGTTAGAAACTCCAGGAAAATAAAAAACTAAGCAAAAAGGTAAATAATTATTGGGATTAATTTGTATTTTCTTATGAATTTCCTCTTAAGTTCTTCAGAGGTTACAACTGAAACTATGATAATTGCCTGGGCCCGTAATCACTAGTGGGGTCTGATCTCCAAGTTGATCACCTTAGCACATAAGGTTCTTGGCTGCTATACATCTCTGAATCTGCCCTATGCCATTTACCAATCAGCAAGCTCCTTGTGGGGAAAAACCAGCTCTCTATTTCTACTTTTCTTGCCTGCATGACCTTGCCACCCAAGTTCCACTGTCTTAGCTCAGGGCTCCTTCAGGCCCTAGAAACCAGCTGCAGTTCCTTGTCACATGTATTTCCTCAACATGGCTGCTTACTTCATCAGGCCAGCAAGAAAAATTTCTCTCTGGTCTCCTAAGATGAAGTGTTATATAACAATATAGTCATGGGAGTGACATCCTATACTTCTGCCATAAACTATTGGCTGACAGCAAGCCTCAGTTCTGCCTACACTTAAGCAGAGAGGATTATATAGGGCAAAAATCATTGGAGTCACCTAGGATGTGCCTGACACAACTGCTGACAACAGGACAAGGAAAAAAGAGGGAATGGGAACATTCACAAGTATCAGAGTTGAAGAGATTTCTATTTGGTGTCAGAAGTCAGTTTTGTCTCATTACTTGTACCTTTGACCAATTTACTACCTCTCTCCTTACCTGTAAAGTTTGTTAGCTGATAATTTATGTAATGAGGTTTGGTGGTCACAGAGTAAAGAACTATGGAGACACTTACTTTTATCCAAAAAACCACACAGATATTAAAATTTCAGGATATTCATTGTCAAGATGCAAAACATACTCAAAACCATACACTCAGATAACCACATGAACAAGGAATAAGGAATATATACGCATATGTGAAAATGGGGTCATTTTAAGAAAACAATGATGTCATACATTAAAGTATGGATGCAAAGACAGAATCAAGCATGCACAAACTAAACAATTTATTTTACTGGTAGTTTCTGGAGACTACATTTAAAAGTTAAAAAAATCAACAATCCTAACACCCAAATAATAATCTGGATACTCTGCTTAATAATTTGGTATATTTCCTTCTAAGCATTTTGTTCTGTGTCCACCTATATACTCTAAAACACATACAAATATAAAACAAATAATTTTACTCAGTATAAAACTATTTTTCTGCCACCCAGAATCACTGATATAATGCTGTGTATCCATTCTCAATGCATTTTTACAATGTAAATCATGTGGTACATTTTTAAATTTTTTTCACTTAGCCAATTATCATGAATATTTCCCTAAATCCTCAAATATAAGAACACTTTTGGAGAAGGAAATGGCAACCCACTCCAGTATTTTTGCCTGGAGAATCCCAGGGACGGAGGAGCCTGGTGGGCTGCTGTCATTGGGGTTGCACACAGTCAGACACAACTGAAGTAACTTAGCAGAAGCAGCAGCAGCCAGAACACTTTTAATTAGTGCATACTATTCTATCTTACTGATATGTCAATTTTGAGTCAATTGACTATTGGATAGTCAATTTTTTTCCTATTTTAAATAATATTGTGTTAAGGGAGATAATCTGAAAATTAAAAGAGGCATAAAATGTAACCATAAAATCGTTACCCTTAAATATTAAGTTGTAAGCAATGTTCCTAAGTGAGGTGTGTTAAAGCTAATTATATGCCTTTTCTGAAAGGGGTTTGTATTTTGCACTGAAAGTGCTGATGAACATGTGTAAGATTTCCTGTTTGAGTGCTTGTTTCAGGGATCATGACGACTCATCCCCCTTTATACCACTTAAGGGAGGAATTTTCCTATTTTTTTTTCATTTCTTTTTATTAGTTGGAGGCTAATTACTTTACAATATTGTAGTGGTTTTGCCATACAGTGACATGAATCAGCCATGGATTTACATGTGTTCCCCATCCTGATCCCCCCTCCCACCTCCCTCCCCATCCCATCCCTCTGGGTCTTCCCAGTGCACCAGCCCTGAGCATTTCTCTCATGCATCCAACCAGGGCTGGTGGTCTGTTTCACCCTTGATAGTATACTTGTTTCAATGCTATTCTCTCAGAACAGCCCACCCTCGCCTTCTCCCACAGAGTCCCAAAGTCTGTTCTGTACATCTGTGTCTCTTTTTCTGTTTTGCATATTGGGTTATCGTTACCATCTTTTTAAATTCCATATATATGTGTTAGTATAATGTATTGGTCTTTATCTTTCTGGCTTACTTCACTCTGTATAATGGGCTCCAGTTTCATCCATCTCATTAGAAGTGATTCAAATGAATTCATTTTAATGGCTGAGTAATATTCCATTGTGTGTATGTACCACTACTTTCATATCCATTCGTCTGCTGATGGGCATCTAGGTTGCTTCCATGTCCTGGAAATTATAAACAGTGCTGCAATGAACACTGGGGTGCACGTGTCTCTTTCAGATCTAGTTTCCTCGGTGTGTATGCCCAGGAGTGGGATTGCTGGGTCATATGGCAGTTCTATTTCCAGTTTTTTAAGGAATCTCCACACTGTTTTCCATAGCGGCTGTACTAGTTTGCATTCCCACCAACAGTGTAAGAGGGTTCCCTTTTCTCCACACCCTCTCCAGCATTTATTGCTTGTAGACTTTGGATAGCAGCCATCCTGAGTGGCGTGTAATGGTACCTCATTGTGGTTTTGATTTGCATTTCTCTGATAATGAGTGATGTTGAGCATCTTTTCATGTGTTTGTTAGCCATCTGTATGTCTTCTTTGGAGAAATGTCTGTTTAGTTCTTTGGCCCACTTTTTGATTGGGTCATTTATTTTTCTGGAATTGAGCTGCAGGAGTTGCTTGTATATTTTTGAGATTAACCCTTTGTCTGTTGCTTCGTTTGCTATTCTTTTTTCCCATTCTGAGGGCTGTCTTTTCACCTTGCTTATAGTTTCCTTTGTTGTGCAAAAGCTTTTAAGTTTCATTAGGTCTCATTTGTTTATTTTTGCTTTTATTTCCAATATTCTGGGAGGTGGGTCATAGAGGATCCTGCTGTGATTTATGTCGGAGAGTGTTTTGCCTATGTTCTCCTTTAGCAGTTTTATAGTTTCTGGTTTTACATTTAGATCTTTAATCCATTTTGAGTTTATTTTTGTGTATGGTGTTAGAAAGTGTTCTAGTTTCATTCTTTTACAAGTGGTTGACCAGTTTTCCCACCTCCACTTGTTAAAAGAGGTTGTCTTTTTTCCATTGTATATCCTTGCCTCCTTTGTCAAAGATAAGGTGTCCATAGGTACGTGGATTTATCTCTGGGTTTTCTATTCTGTTCCATTGATCTATATTTCTCTCTTTGTGACAGTACCATACTGTCTTGATGACTGTGGCTTTGTAGTAGAGTCTGAAGTCAGGCAGGGTGATTCCTCCAGTTCCATTCTTCTTTCTCAAGATTGCTTTGGCTATTAGAGGTTTTTTATATTTCCATACGAATTGTGAAATTTTTTGTTCTAGTTCTCTGAAAAATACCATTGGTAGCTTGATAGGGATTGCATTGAATCTATAGATTGCTTTGGGTAGTATAGCCATTTTCACTATATAGAGTCTTCCAATCCATGAACATGGTAATATTTCTCCATATATTTGTGTCCTCTTTGATTTCTTTCATCAGTGTTTTATAGTTTTCTATACAGAGGTCTTTTGTTTCTTTAGGTAGATATACTCCTAAGTATTTTATTCTTTTTGTTGCAATGGTGAATAGTATTATTTCCTTAATTTCTGTTTCCTCATTGCTAGTGTATAGGAATGCAAGGGATTTCTGTGTGTTAATTTTATATCCTGCAACATTACTGTATTCATTGATTAGCTGTAGTAAATTTCTTGTAGGGTCCTTAGGGTTTTCTATGTAGAGGATCATGACGTCTGCAAACAGTGATAATTTTACTTCTTCTTTTCCTATCTGGATTCCTTTTATTTCTTTTTCTGCTCTGATTGCTGTGGCCAACACTTCCAAAACTGTGTTGAATAGTAGTGGTGAGAGTGGACACACTTGTCTTTTTCCTGACTTTAAGGGAAATGCTTTCAATTTTTCACCATTGAGGATAATGTTTGCTGTGGGTTTCTCATATATAGCTTTTATTATGTTGAGGTATGTTCCTTCTATGCCTGCTTTCTGGAGAGTTTTTATCATAAATGGATGTTGAATTTTGTCAAAGGCTTTTTCTGCATCTATTGAGATAATCATATGGTTTTTATCTTTCAATTTGTTAATGTGGTGTATTACATGGATTGATTTGTGGCTATTAAAGAATCCTTGCATTCCTGGGATAAAGTCCACTTGGTCATGATGTATGATCTTTTTAATATGTTGTTGGATTCTGTTTGCTAGAATTTTGTTCAGGATTTTTCCGTCTAT